ATGTAATGCATGATAACTAGTAATATTTATTCAAAAATAGCTAAAACAAAGTAATAAAAAATATAAATTCCCCTGTTACTTCAACCCTTTGGTACCAAAAGGGTTCCCCTTGTACAAAATAGGGCTCGGCTTGTTCCTTACTTCTCAATAAGTTCCACCAACAATTTTCTACAACATATAAGTGATCCACATCACTTATCATGACAAATAGCATTAATGAAGACTATAACTCATACCATACAACTTAGGTCAATGAGTCATAATCCACCCTAATGGTCCATATATTAAACCAACCATTCACATAGTATCACTTAACCACCAAAACCATTTATTAGCCATCACTAGGCTAATTTTCAATTTATATAATTTTTTATCAATTAAAAACCTTTACTTAGTGCCACCAACTTTTACCATTAGCCCTTATAATGAAAACCAAACCTTAATTTAAATCTTATTGGGCTCAAATAGCAAAATTATAACTAAATCAATAAGCTTAAACCATTGAAGAGCAAAAACCCAATTTCTCAGGATTTATTTTGTGCCCAAAACACCTCTTTTCATCCAATTATCCACTCAAAACATTAGATCACTATATAGAAACTCAAAACATGCTCCCTAGGATCCAAAGAAACAAAAGCTTACAAGAATAAAGCCTTTGGGATCAAAATCCAAAAATCTCCTCTTCCAAAAATTGAAGAAAATCAAGAGAAAGGGAAGAGGATTGAAGTAGAGAGTTTACCTATCGTGTAGCCGAGCTCGCAACGGTCGCAAAGACTCTTAGATCCAAGCCTAACTCCTCCCTTTCTCCTCTCTTCTCTCTCTCTCTCTCTCTCTCTGCGTTTCCTTTCCTTTCCTTTCCAATTCAATTTCTGCATTTCTGCATCAGTTTTGGCCTTTAAATTGCTGGTCAAAAAGTTTGGGAAAAATTACAAGAAAGGGCCCAACATTTTTTATTATTGCACAAAAGCCCGGGTCAACTTTGGTAATTTTTCCCATAGTTAAAAATCAAATAAAACTAAACTTTTGCTTAGTAAAATTCAAACTCTGGACCTCTATCAAATTATTCTAAATTTTAATTTAATTATAGATATTTTATTTTATTTTTAAAATAAATTTGAGTCTTAAAATTTTTAGGATGTTACAATAACGGACAAAGCACTATGGGCTCTATTCAATTTGTTCGTTTTTTTTATGTTAAAATGTGATGATTCTTGTTTCCATGCTTCCACTACTCCTTAGTGTATATGATTTAAACTTTTATTTGAGCTCAAACATCTTTCTAAAAAGATTTCTTGAAATCCCAAACTTTTAAACTTGATTTCTAAACTCTTGATTGTTATGGTAATCAAATCTAGGGTATCTTAATTCCAATTATCATAATGGTTATTGTATAGTATGTTTTAGTAATGTCAAGGTGGATATTAAAATTAAAAATTCAATTTTAAAAATTAAAAATTTAGACTATAATCTAAGATGAGATAGTCCAAATTTGAGTGGTTTTTATTTTTTAACCTTTTACTCTTTACCCTTTCTCTTTTTTTTTTTTTTTTTGCCTGTCGAAGGATGTTCTTAGGCCTCATTTGGTATGACAAAAAATTTTTTGATGGAATTAAAATCAAAATCAAATTAGAAAATTATGTTTAATATAGAATGGAATCCTAATATAATTTTATTTAAAAAATGTGTTTGTATTAACAAAAGTCCCAAATACCCTTGATATTAAAAAAAGCCCTTGTCTGCAACTTCCCCAAGATCATGACCCACCTCTCACTAATCACTGACACACATGAACCAAAAATGGAACCACCTATAGCCATAAATTTCAAACTAAACCACAAACCATAATCATATCCTAACCTATTCAATTAACTACGTCCTAAATCATTAAAGAAGATCGAGGAGGCAGGTGGAGAGCAACTCAACAGTCAAGAAACCCAAGATCTATAAAACTTGTGATGGTGAGAAGCTCGATAAGTCACTAAAGATCTTCAATCCTCCTTAGTGGTTTATAATGGGTGTTGGTCTATGATAGATCTAGAAGAAGGTGGATCATCACCGTTGATGGAGATTGAAGGTAGAGATCAAAGAAGCTTGTCGTCATAATTCCATGGCAACCTTCAACAATGGTGGCAAAGTTTTACGACAGTAGATCGTGACAATGCTTCCTTCCTTCATCATTGCCTATGACAAAGTGAAGCAGTGGATCAATGGCAATGAATTAACAATGGTTGCAAAGTTGGACGGCAGTGGATGAAGAGTTGAAGGCTAGAAATAGAGTTAGGAATATTGGCCAACTCAAATCATATGAGTTAGCCCATATATGTTGGAAAAAAATATAGGTCAAATTAGGTTTAGCCCATTTTTTCACAAGTTGAAAAAATCACTACCCAACCCAACCCTCGAGGATTGATGGGTTAAATTAGCTAATTTGTTAACCCATTTATTTATCTTTCATCAATTTAAAAAAAAATCTAAATGATAATGAGTTCTAATACGATATTCCTTCATAATTCATTCTAAACACACCAAAATATATTAGTTAAGTCAACCAAGCCAAGCCCTGCCCATCAATTTATTAAAAGTCATATTGTCCAACCACTTTTTTCTATTATTTTTATTTTTTAAAATAATATGAGTTAAACATATTAGAATTAACCCATATAGTTCATGGGTTATTTGGTCTAGGATAGAAAAAACTTATTTTTATTTGGGCCAACTTTTCTCTAACCTAACCCAACCCTTATGATCAATTATTTGAGTCAACTCATAACTTGATCCATGTTCTCAACTTTAGGGAGAAGAGAGAAAATGATGGATTCTAGGGAGTTTGCCTCTATACCTAACATCAATCCAATTGGATTCCTACCCAATTCCTTTTCCATGTTAAAGATTCCACACTACCAAACATGATCTTAGTTCTTACCTTATCTAATAGGGTAAATGTGCAAATTTGGCTATATACTATTTTTCAAGAACATCTAGTAGCCTAAATTATCAGGTGGTACGAAATAAATCATAACTTTCAAAAATGAAGTATCTAGTAGCCCACTATTAATTTTAGTTGACAGACAATATAGGGGGCTCATAATGACACGTGACACTCCATGGTCACTCTAAATTATCATGTGTAAAAGTGCAAATTTTGGCTACTAAGAAATATTGGGTAGTCTTTACTATAAAAAACAGACCATCCAACACCTTCTCCTCAATTTTGACCAAACATCATTTATTTTTATACTTATGAGACCCACAAGGCATTAATTTCAATTTTCTTACCTTCATTCTCAATGTCAGCTTAAAAAGAAGAGGTTCAAAGAATTCTTATTTGAAGACATTCACAAGGACAATGCTAATGAAATATAAGCTTGATTTTATAAGTATAGGAGAAGCTTGATTTTAGCTTAATTTAGCCACATATTATTTCTTCTACTTTATTAGTGTTGTGTTCGTGAATGATTTCAAATAATAACTCTTTGAATTTCTTCTTCTTGGGTTGAGAATAAGAACAAAGGCAAAAAGATTAAAGATATTAATGCATTAAGGGTCTCATAAGTGTAAAAATAAATTGTGTTTGGTCAAAATTAATAGAAAAATATTGGATGGTCTATTTTTATAGTAGAGATTACCCAATATTACTCGAAAAATAGTTCGAAACTAAATTTGCACATTTACACATGTTGACGTAGAGTGTTATGTGTCATTGTAAACTTTACATAATGTTCATCAACTGAAGATAATGGTAAGCTACTAGATGCTCCTTTTTTAAAAGTTGATAATTTAGTTTACATCACTTGATAATTTAAGCTACCAGATGCTGCTAAAAAAAATAATACATAGCCAAACTTGCACATTTACCCTATCTAATGCAATAAAATAAAAATATTTTCTTATCCATCACATTACGTGATTTTTTTAAACTGACATGATTACATAATGTTATATCCAAATCCAATCTAGAAATAAGCACATCAAACAAATTATGTATGAGTACGCTCAATTTAGTTTGGAAATCATATCAAGACGTATAAAAGGTGATGGTTAAACGAAGTCGTTATTTTCAACTAATTTGGCGGAAAAATCCAATCACTCCCTTTATGAAAACCCTAATCATCATGCCTCCATATAGGATTGCACAAAGGACTGATCCGATTAAATTTCAGCCTAACCCAAAGTTTAATCTTTTTTCATAAAAAGGACCAAGTTAAACAATTCATAGTCTAATCTAATCCTAGTATAACCTGAAACTGAATAGGACTAGACTAGTCCATAAAAGTAAGAGACTGGTCCTGCTCTTGTCCAGCACCACACTTTTTTTTTTCCTTTTTCATATAGAGAGATAGCAATTTATTTCAACATAATAAACTTAATTAACATAATAAAATCATTTATAGTCATAAAATTTATCACAACAACAATAATTATAAATCCATAACAATATCCAACAACAACAAAAAGTATTTCAATTACAACACAAATGGTTAAAGTTAAATAACCTTCAATAACATTAAACAACCTTCAACATGTCTGAAGTCCATAACACCAAATTAATAACAAATTTTACTAATAAAAGTAAAAGACTGAAACTGGTCAATGTTAAAATTTTACTCAATATTTATGACTTTATAAATATCAAACACAAAAAAAGTAATTATTATTACAATTAACTTATTATAATAATAATTAATAAATTAATTATAAGTATATTAAATAAATTTACAGGTCTAAATTAAATTAAGTAGTCCAGATATTTAGTTTCATATACAATTTAATTAAAAGGAAGAGCCTAATTTTTTTAATACTAAAAGATTAATTTTTATTTGTATCGAATAAGGTTTGAGTTGTCTCATGTTACACCGAATTGGACCGGACTAAAAAGACTTTTGTACAGCCTTAATTTCATGAATCATGAATGATTATTCTCTCTCTCACTCCCCACTATCGTCTGAGCGAAACAACTCAGAAACAACGCAGAAACATTAAAAACACTTCCAAATGCATGGATTTGGCATCTGGGTGAGTCACGTTTGCTGATTAGTCTCGTCACACTTGGCAGTTTTTCCACAGGCAAATTGGAATCGTCGGACTTATGGGACCCACCATCTCTCTCGTTTTGTTTTTCTCAACTGGGGAATATTTTGCATTTCGGGAAATTCAGATTTCCAAGTTATGACATTATCCGAGTTGTCTCTGCTTTTGTGGCGTTCACGGCAAGGTTTTGGGAAGCCTTCAAACCTTGTGCTTTGCGAAAGGTCTAAAGCATAACGTGGTCCGTGTTTCTTCCGTCTCTCATTTCCCTCCGGATATTCTAGCTCTCTCGTCGTTTCTGGGGTCTTCTGGTAAGATTTGAAGCTTCTCTAGTCATCCGGATAAGTTTCTCTTTCTTATCAAGTTTTCGAATCTTTTATTTCTTGTTCTGGTAAAAGCAGAGGGGGATCTTTGGTTTGTTTGTGGATCTCTCTCCGTTTTTCTTTGAATTTGAGCTGGGATCTGTATAAGCCAAGGGCAACTTCTCATAGGCAGTGTGTAAATCTCTGACTTTCAACCATTGTCGATCAGAGGGCAACCTTATCAACCAATTTCAAGAGGGGGACTTTGAGGTTATTTTCATAAACCTGCAACCAGAAATTTAAGATTTTGTTCTTCAACTTGAGTATAGGGTTCTGCTCTATCAAGCTGCTCAGCTTGGCTTCATATTCTTATACCGTTTTATTGTTGAGTTGATCAAATTGTTGACTTGGGTGTATTGTATCAAGCTGACAGGGTTATTTGAAGTTATTAACCTGTAGTCTTCGCGTATAAGGTCTTCTCTATTGATTTACATTGATTATCTGTTGGGTGCACGTAGTTTATTTAGAAAAGTAGCCATTGGCTTTTTCTTGTTTTAGTTTCCTTGCTGTGTGATTTCGGGGTTCAAAATGGGGAAGAAAAAGGAACAAGTGGGAGATAAATCAAGCGAGGATGGTGGGAGTCAAAGCAAAGTTGGAGATAGTAGCCCCAAAGCATATGACAAGGATACTATGGTGTTCATATCCATGGCTCAAGATTTAAAGGATGAGGGGAACAAGCTATTCCAAAAGAGGGACCATGAAGGGGCCTTGATAAAATATGAGAAAGCTCTCAAGTTGCTTCCAAAGAATCATATAGATGTGTCGTATCTACGGAGTAACATGGCAGCATGCTACATGCAGATGGGACTTGGTGAGTACTCCAGGGCAATTGATGAATGCAATTTAGCCCTTGAGGCTACACCAAAATACAGTAAGGCACTGTTGAAGAGGGCAAGGTGCTATGAAGGTTTAAATAGACCGGATTTAGCTTTGACAGATGTTAGTACCGTTTTGAAGATGGAACCAAATAATATCATGGCATTGGAGATCTCTGAAAGGGTTAAACAAACACTTGAGGAGAAAGGATTGAGAGTGAATGATACAGTGATCGAGTTGCCTCCAGATTATGTTGAACCTTCTTATGCTTTAATTCCAGAAAAAGTGGTGAAAGAGAAGATACGCAAAAAGAAGAGCAACAAAGTTGAGGTGAATGCTGTGGATAATAAAACTGTAGTAAAACAAGCTGAGGAGAAATTGGAAGAGAAGAAGGTTGAGGACAATATTGAGAAGGCTGGGAGGAAATCTAAAAGGAAGGCGAAGGAAAAAATTGATGAGAAGAAGGCCGATGTTAAGGAGGTTGTGGAGGAAACAATTAATGGTAGAAGAGATGATATGCTGAAGAAAACAGCAAAACTTGTTTTTGGTGAGGACATAAGATGGGCTGAGTTGCCAATTAATTGCAGCCTTTTGCAGCTAAGAGAAGTTATCTGTGACCGCTTCCCAAGCCTAGGAGCAGTTCTTGTCAAGTATAGAGACCAAGAAGGTGATTTGGTCACAATCACTTCTGATTCTGAATTAAGATGGGCTGAAACTTCAGCAGGATCACAAGGTTCAATCCGGCTATACATTGTAGAAGCTACTCCTGAGCAGGATCCATTCTTCGAGAAAATTAATAAAATGGAGGTGCAAAAGCCTCCTGTTAGTAAAGCACCTGAGAATCGTTGTGTTTTGAAAGAAAACGAAGTGATAAACTCATCTTGCATCGAGGATTGGACAATCCGGTTTGCCCAGCTATTCAAGAACCATGTTGGATTCGAATCTGACAGATATTTGAATTTTCATGAACTTGGGATGAAGCTCTATTCTGAGGCTATGGAGGAGACTGTTACAAGTGAAGAAGCACAAGGTTTATTTGACATGGCAGGAGATAAGTTCCAAGAGATGACAGCGCTAGCACTGTTCAGCTGGGGAAATGTTCACATGTCTAGGGCAAGGAAGAAAGTGTATTTCACTGAAGATTCTTCTAAGAAGCATCTGTATGAACAAATCGAAAGTGCATATGACTGGGCACAGAATGAATATAAAAAGGCAGCAGAAAAATATGAAGCTGCCATTCAAATAAAATCAGATTTTTATGAAGGCTTTCTGGCGCTGGGGCAGCAACAATTTGAGCGAGCAAAACTTTCTTGGTATTATAATGGAATCAGCAGTGGTGCTGATTCAGCGACATGGCCTTCTGCTCATGTTCTTCAGCTTTACAGCAATGCTGAAGATAATATGGAAAAAGGAATGCAATTATGGGAACAGTCAGAGGAGCATCGCTTGATTGAAGCCTCCAAATCCAAGGATATCAAATTACTTTTGCATGAGATGGGATTGGATGGCATGTTGAAAAATATATCGGCGGATGAAATTGCTGCACAGGCTGCAAATATGAGATCTCAGATAAATCTGCTGTGGAGTACCATGCTATATGAGCGTTCAATTGTGGAATTCAAAGTAGGGTTACCAGAATGGCATGAATCTCTGGAAGTAGCTGTCAAGAAGTTTAAACTTGCTGGAGCTTCTCCAACAGATATGGCCGTGATGTTGAAGAACCACTGTTCAAATAATAGTGCTGCAGATGGTACACACTCGTGCTAATAAATATAAAAAATTGTAGCTGAATAGATGTATATGCTATATATACTGACATATTAACTTACAGGTCTAGAGTTCAAAATGGATGAAATAGTACAAGCATGGAATGGGATGTATGAAGCTAAAAAGTGGCAGCATGGAGTTCCTTCCTTTCGCTTGGAAACCTTATTTAGGAGGCGAGTTTCAAAACTTTATCGTGCCTTGGAGCTTGTGTGAATAGCTTCTTGTGCAACTTGATGGAGAACAACAGAGCCAATACTTCCTTATATTTCCCCTTCGCTTGTAATGCCATTTCTACAGCTAAAGGTAGTTGAGGACCACCACACTGATAAAATCTGCTGTTTCTTGATTTTAGTTGTGACTTTGATTCTTCATTTTAACACAATAATATTCATGATTTGTCATCTAATATTGCGTTTCTGTTAATGAGAATTTGTTACTTGAGAAAGGTTTCTTATGTTTGAGCACAAGTAAGAAGCTGTGGCTTTTGACATTTCCCTTAAAGAATTTTTTTTCAGCATATATTTATAATCCATTTCCTATAAAGATTAATTACGAAGATGATTGTGTTGCACATGCAGTTGGTACGATAATGCATTGCATTAAGAAGTGTGTTTAGTTAAATTTTCATTCTTGATCACAATGTCATATATAAATATATGGCAGATAATGTCAGTGACTACCTCATCCCAAAAACATGCATAGCCGTCCATTCATCGTGCTGTTCTGATTTGGGCAAGTGTACAGAAAATTGAGTGCAATTTGGTCCTTGATCAGAATGCACCTGGGTGGAGCATACATCGCATAGGTTTTCACAAAACCATTTTCCATTATTAGGTTCTGCGTGGATTGATTCAAAAATGACTGCTGATTATCATTAGGTTTGCAGAACCTAATTTTCATTACTTCCTGGATTCTTCTATTGTGATTCACTTCTGAGTTGGAGAGTGGTATTAGCTTCCTACATTTGATAACTATGGCTAACAATAGTTTGACCATGTACAACTACTGAGAAACTGGGAAATTCTATGATTATCATTGTACATGGCTCAGTTTCAGCAGTTAGCAGAGGGACTAATAATCACATGTTGCATTTGTTTCATGGACATATTAATTATAGCTTTGGACCTTCGTATCTAAAGCACTTTGAAATTGCTTCGAGTCCATGCCATTCAATACTGTGCTCAGCAACCTTTAGTTATTTTCGTGATTGTTTACATATACATTTTTGTTCCTGTATTTTCTTTACTTTTTTTGCTCGTAAAATATACAAGACTGTAGCTTACCCTCTTTAAACACAACCTTGGCTCACCTGTTTTGCAGGTCTTTCTTTCCACTTGAAGTGTCTGAACTCAACAATGTACTTCGTGGAAGCCACTATTCATTTTCATTGTGCTTGGACGTTCTATGACCACAAAGGTCTTTATGACTTCCTTTACTATACACCTTGGGAAGGTGGAGTTGCAGCAATTTTTGTTTTTTAAATTCAATTCCAGCCTTGAACACATTGACTTGCTTTGATTATAGTTTTCTAGGGGGCGGGGGGGTAGGATATTAAATTTGTAACAGAAACCGATGGAAAGTTATGTAGTGTAACTTGTTCCATTTGCAACTGTTCACTCTTGAGTGAATATTGCTAGGTGTAATTTCCTTTTAGTAGACTATTGAATTTACGGAATGCAACTTATTTTACTGCTAAATGTCAAAGAAATGTAAAACAAAAAAGCTGCAGGTTTCTATTCTGATATGCTGTTAATACTCTCCTTTGTCCATTTTTTAGGACCCTGCAAGAATAACAAAATTTAGAGCTATGTAGTTTGAAGAAAATGAGATGTTTGAAGTAATTGGAAATTTAAATGATTAGGATGTATAGGAAATTTGAAATTATAAAGGAGTTGTAATAAAAAAATGGATTTGAATCAAATTGAGATCTTTATTAATCCAAACGCACCATAAATGTTAAAGCAGATCAGAGGCACAAAAGAATAATGGGCTTTCGAAGGGCTTCTTATAGAGCTATGTGGTTTATCTTCATTGAAGTTAAAAGAATCCATCCCGAAGGATTCCCAAGAATGGACTCTGCAAAATTATGTTGTTTCATAACTCACGGCAAGTTGATACCAAAAAAAAAAAAAATTGTTGTCCGCTAGCCAAAGTCACCTCTCTTGTGTACTTCCTGCTGGAGAATCTTAGGCCAACATATTATAAAGTCACAGACTTTGAGCCACCTGGATTTTCAGATATGACCATTTTCTTTATTCATCCCAAACACGCAAGGTTTATTTTTGGAAAAGCCGATCAATATGTGCAAATGAAAGGTGTCGTTGCTGATATTCAAAAATTCCTGTACCTTTTCAAGAATGTTTTTGTTGAGATCTTACATCGATTTAGACTTCTTAAATGGAACAACTCTTCTAATTAATTTCAGCACCTTTGCTTTGCAAGAGTTTGTTATTACTTATTAAGGTGATATCAAAATTATCATGTAATATTTGGTGAGCCAATAAATCGGTGTATCTATTTACTTTTTATAAATATAGTCAAAAGTAATCATTTAATTTTTTATGGGAGATATTTGATTTTCCTAATAATCACTAATAGGAGATGGCTTCCAGAGTAATTATATTCAATAAGTGACATTTAGCTTCATATTTTATTCATAAAATTTGTTGTTTTACATTTTTTTTAGTTTTATCCATTCAATCAATTAAGATGTACGTGTCTGTAGGTGAAGGGCCGGTTCAAAATTTATTTTGTCAGAAAGCTATTGTGAAAAAATTGATTTAAAAACTTGATTAGTTTTAAAAAAAAAAAAGATGAACAAATATTGTTAATTATTTTCCTATTTTCACTTAGATAAACATTTTTGACATTTACATCATCCTATTAAAAAATTGTCTTTAGAGCATCTCAAATGGTGACTGTCACAATGCTAATATTTTCTCGTACAAGCATGGAGTAAATCTAGTGAAATAATATTTTAATTAATCCAATTTATTCACTATGAAATTATTGTTCCATTGTAATAACTGTAAGGCTTCCCATACAATTACTTCTTTCATTCAAAAATATAAAATATTTTTAAAAAGTTGATGTTCAAAAATATAAAATATTTTTAGTCTTTTTTGATGTAATTATTACTTTTTTTTTCAAAAGTATCCCTATTAATGAATGTCTTTATATTTATTGTAAAGTGTTTAATAAAGGTAAATATGAAAAAATAAGGTTAGTTTAAAAGTAAGTAACTATTTTATTGAAAGGTGTGATTTATTCAAAAATGTTTTATCTTTTTGAATGAAAAGAGTACATGAAAGTTTGTGTAAAATATAGTTTGTATGATCTAAGTAATTTTTTTTTCAAATTTGTATTTTCTGAAGTATAGTTTTTTTTTTTTTGGTCAAGGAAGTATATCTTAGTCGTCAACAGTCGCTTTTGTCTTAAAAATAGTTTACAAATTGAAGCTGCATTCTGCACCGCTACAAGCAAAATGGTTATGAGGCTGAAAACTATGCATGGATGAGGATGATAGTGCTCCCTCCTGTATTTATTATAAAACACTTTTAATTATTTTAAATATATTAAAAAATTAATTCTTTATATCATAAAAAAGTTAGATGCATTTTCATTTTTACTGTTAATTTTAAATAATAATATAACTATATTAAATATCTCTACATTAATTAAAAAGAAATAAAATTAAAAAAAATTTAATTATTATAAAATGCTTTATATTTTATATCAAAATTATTTTTGAAAGATATCTTATAAATATAACCAGAGGAAACTTCCACAAATGTGGGGACGTTTTGGTGAGGTTGCCATGATAGATGTTGGTTCGGGCTTCTTTGTGGTGCAATTTGAGAACCTGTAGGATTATGAGTCTGCTCTTACAGGTGGTCTGTGGTTGTTGTTTGATCACTACTTGGCTATGCAACCATGGAAGGAGGATTTTGAGCCTGAGGAAGAGAAGATCACGAAAATAGCAGCTTGGATTTGGATCACTAACTGACCACTCGACTACTATAATAAAGGAATTTTTTATGTGTTGGGATCCCAAGTAGGAAGAGTTCTGAAGGTAGATATGACCATGATGCATTGGAAAAAGGGGCGATTTACACGAATGTGTGTCGAACTGGACCTTAATGCTCCATTGCGACCTATTATTCTGATTAATAGGAAAGAAAAAAGGATACAATATGAGAGTATACATCTTATATGCTTGAGATGCGGAACATATAGGCATGATGCTGAACACTGTTAATCGAAAACGCAGGAATCTAAGAATGGAGGATCAAACTCTGACAATAAGGAAAAGCTGATGGGTAAGGAGGTAGCTTAGTATGTTGATAATTCATCCACTGTGCGGGAAGGATTAGAAGGTGAAGAAGAAGTACAAGAATTTGAGGTGCACTATGACTCGTGGATGCTGGTACAACGCCGTCATTAGTTTCGACGAGGTGGCTGGTCAGAGAATCAAGGAAATATTCCTAGGTGTGATTTTAGGGGAAAATATCAGAATGGGGGGCTGAAATCTCGCTACTCAATTTTGGAAAATATTGAGGCAGATACGGCGGAGAATAACATGCAGATGCAAGAGAGAATAATGTGGAGAATTAGGCGACATGTGATCCATTAAAAGATATTACAAATAAAAGGAATTTGACCAGGTCCAAGCTGGAGGGGCGAACACATAGAATGGCATCTTTTAATGAGCTAAAGCACAATACTGGGCCAAATAAATTTGGAAAAACAATTAGATCAAAACAATCATATGGGGCCAATGGAAAAGGGGACAATAATGGGCTGAGTAGAAGGAATATAGAGAATGGGCTAGAATTTTTGAACATTGAGTCTGCAATGCATGAGTTAACACAAGCTAAGATTAGATTGGACTATAAAAGCACTAGCAACTTGAACATACACACAGCACAGGGGGATTCAGATATGAACCAAGAAGGGACTGATGAGATGGGTTATGAGTATGAGCGACAAATTGATGATGATAATGATGAACTGGACAAAGACTCTATGAGAATTGATGACAACCCTATTGACCCAGGTGATTCGCTCCAATCCTTTATCCACAGACTCGAATGAATAGGATATGGCTGATTTGGTGGCTAATGATGCTAATGGTATGAAGTCCTAACTGGCCCATTTGAGTTTCGTTAAAAAAAAATTATGGATAGTACAAATAAATTCAATATTTTACTATGGAACATTTGTGGTATTGGAGGACATGGTTTTCCAAATTTGATTTCAGAGCTACATAAGAGATATAAGTTTAGTTCCTTAGTTCTCCTGGAGCCAGGACATGATAGCTCTAAAGCTCAATTCATTGCATGTAAGATTGGTCTCACAAATTTTGATTGTGTTGAGGCAAATGGTCATAGTGGTGGCATTTGGTGTTTTTGGGGAGAGGGAGTTGATTTTAAGTAAAGTTGAAACATGATCAAGTACTGCATGGTTGTTTCAATGAGGGTAATAGAGAATAATGGGACTTATTTATAATGTATGGTAGTCCGAATTATGCAAGACACTACATGCTATGGCAAATTTTACGTCAAATAGAAGGAGATAGGGGACAAAGATGGTGTATTGGTGGTGATTTTAATGCTACTTTGTGTGAAGATGAGTTTTTCCTTGTCTTCATCACCTTCAAGAATTGATAGTATGTTCAAAAAATGGTTTGAGGAAGCTAAGGTGATTGACTTAGGGTACCAAGGACCTAAGTATACATGGGGCAATGGGAGATCTCGAAGTCAAATTGATAGAGTTTGTGCTAATACTTTATAGTTCGAACATTTTCTTGAAGCTTCTGTTATTCATCTTCCTAAGATGAAGTCTAATCATTTCCCTCTATTCTTAAAGCTATGGAATGGCACTAACATTGGTAAGAAGGTAAGAGACTTTTGCTTTTTCGCTCCCTGGGTGACTCATAATGATTTCAATGATCTGATGAAAAGCTTGTGTAGTATCACCTCAGGATGGGAAGAGAATGTTGCAAGGTTTGTTTCAAACATTTAGATTGGAACATTAATGTCTTTGGAAATATTAATAAACAAAAATTTGAGTTACTGCATAAACTTAAGGCATCAATCAATGTTTGCAAGCTGATCCAAACTTGTTAATATTGGAGGAAGAACAGCATGCTATTTAGCGCAATTTAGAGAGTATCTTAATTCAAGAGGAAATTATGTGGCTACAGAGATCAAGATGTAACTTGTATACTCAGGGTGATAAAAATACAAAATTTTTTCATACTATGACAAATTGTCGAAAGAAGAGAAAGAATATCGAAGCTTTGAAAGGAGATGATGGTGAGTGGATCTATGATAAAGCTTTATTAAAAAAGATGGGGACTAAGTACTTCACTAGTCTTTATTCTGATGACTCTCACACTCAAAGTAACATTATTTTTGAACAAAGTTATCCATCGGTAGATCAGGATGACCTAGAATGGCTGGGAAAAGATGTTTCTCAACAAGAAGTCAAAATGCTATTTTTTCTATACCTCTCAAAGCTCCAAGACCTGATGGTTTAAATCCTCTTTTTTTTTCAAAATCAGTGGAGTGTGGTTGGTATATCAATGTTCAATCTCGTGCAGCAGATTTTCCAAAATCCTGAGTCCACGGATAGCATCAATGACACGACTATTATGCTCATTCCAAAAATTGATGTTCCTATATCTATAAAGGATTTTCAACCCATCAGCCTATGCAATGTGGTGTATAAAGTGATGACTAAAATTCTTGCAATAAGACTGAAAGGAATCATGGATAAGGTTGTGGATCCTAATCAATGTAGTTTTGTTCCTGGAAGGCAGAGTACGGATAATATTATAGTGGCTCAGGAAATTATACACTCTTTTCACAAGTGCAAGGGAAAACGTGGCTTCATGGCTTTAAAGATCAATCTAGAAAAAGTTTATGATAGGGTGAAAAGGAGCTTTGTTCTCAGATGTCTTGAAGAAATGAACCTCCCTACTAGCTTTATTGATTTGATATCTAATTGTCTCTCTACAGCTAAAATGCAAGTGTTATGGAATGGGGAAAAGGGGGAGAAATTCTCTCTTTTACAGGGTCTAAGACAAGGTGATCTTATTTATCCATACCTGTTTGTCCTAGTAATGGAGAAGTTAGGTCATATGATTCAAGGGGAGGTAAATAATGAGAATTGGATGCTGTTCAAATTATGAAGAAATGGGGTTGGCATTTCTTATCTCTTCTTTGCTGATGACTTGCTACTCTTCGCAGAAGCTAGTATGGATCAAGCTGGCATAATAAAGGCTTTGTCTAGATGATTTTTGCTCTATTTCTAGAGAAAAGGTAAATAACTCTAAATCCAAAATCTTCTTCTCTGAGAATGTAAGGCGGATGCAAGTAGCTGAACTTAGTAAGTTTCTAAACTTTACACCCACCTTTGATTTAGGTAGATACTTAGGTGTTCCTTTGCACCATAAAAGAGTTACTAAGACTACCTATCAAAATATTCTTAAGAGAATGGACAATCGCCTAGCCTCTTGGAAAGCTCATTCTCTATCCTTGGCGGCTTGACATATGCTAGTATCATCTATTATTGCGACTATTCCTTCTTATTCTATGCAACCTACACCATTACCTGCTCATACTTGTAAAGAGATTGATAAAAAATGTCAAAGATTTATATGGGGAGGCTCTAACTAGTGGAGAAAGTTACATCTTGTGGCTTGGAAGGATGTGTGCATGAGAAAAGATAAAGGGGGTCTGGGTTTGAGACATGCCTACAGACAAAACAAAGCTTTTTTGATGAAGTTGGGATGGGGCTTAGTTTATCGTAGAGATGCTCTATGGGTGCAATTTATGAGAGAGAAATACAAGTGTGGTGAAGACGTTATCCTTAAGGTTGAAGTGCGTAGAAGTGTGTCAAGTGATTGGAAAGGTATTCTTGATGCTTGGACTGACACTACTAAAGGTATTGTTTGGTAGGTTGGTAAGGGAAATAGAATACAATTCTAGAAAGATAGTTGGTTGCCACACCATGATTCTCTCCTAAATTATGTTATCAAGCAGGTCCCGGAAGAGATTTCTGATGACTTGGTTGAGAAATATTTCTCTTCAACTGGTGCTTGGCTTAGGGATAAGTTTGAGGAGTATCTACTCGATATGATTCTGAGAGAAATTTATCGCATCAGGGGAAATCAAAGAAATGATAGGCCACGATGGAGGTGGTCTAACAACGGCGAATTCACTATGAAGTCAGCCTATCAAAGTCTCTGCCTAAATACTAATGGAATGCAAATTAGTATTTGGAGGAGAGTGTGGAAAGCGCCAATTTCCCAGCATAACAGAACCTTCTTTTGGTTGAGCGCGAGGGGCAACTTATGACAAACTCATTTTGTGTTAATAGAGGTATATCATTTGATGATAAGTGTTCTTTGTGCTCTTCCCATACAGAGACTATTATGCATGTCCTTTAAGATTGTAGTTTTGCAACAAATTGTTGGGTTAGATTGGTTTTGGTGGAGATGAAAGCAGCATTTGATTCTTTTAATAATATTGTGGAATGGATTGATTGGAATCTGGCTCAAGGGCTCATATTAAAGGGCTGTCGATGGGATATTTGGTTTGCGATTCTTTGCTGATAGTTATGGATTAGTAGGAACTTAAGAGTCTTTCAACAAAAGAAGTGTGGGGTTGGGAGGTGTTGGCTCAAGTGCAAGCGTTGGTGTCTTGGTCAAATTCTGAACCCTATCTACTAAGATGGAAAGAGATAGAGTACGATGGAGAGCACAGGAAATAGAAGTTGTTAAATTCAATACAGATGGTGCAAGTGGACAGGATGGTGCTGTCACTGGATGTAGGGGTGTTGCTAGAGACCACACAGGGCGTTTTCTTAATGGGTTTATCTATCATATTGGGCATGGGAGCAATTTGAATGCTGAATTATGAGGTGTCACATAGGCACTTAAAAGAGCTTGGGACATGGGTTGGAGAAGGATAGGATGGAGACGGATTGCATGGAGGCTATCAAGACGCTACAGAATGATGAACAACCGGAATATCCTGATTGTGACCTCATTGTAGAGATCCAGAGCATGAGACAATGAGATTGGACTGTTGATTTGACTTGGTGCAACCGAGAAGCCAACTCCATTGTAGATTCATTAGCGAAGGAGGCTTTGAAGTAGATGGGTGACGTGATCTTCTTCACATCTCCTCCTGATTTTATCTCTGATAATTTAATCTCGAATGTTAGATTTTAGTTTTTAGTTTTTTTTTTCTTTTCCTTCATCGGAAAAAAAAAATATATAACGGGAGGAAATAAAATATTAAATTAAAATACTCCCATTTCGTCTGAGCCACAAATGAGCTCCTGCGTGGCGAATTCAGGTTCTCTTTTGGTGAGCAGGGCAACCGAAAGCACCCTTGGATTTTTCTTCACCCAGAAACAAAATCAGACTCTCTTTCGTTTACTTATGCCAGTTTTAGTCTGCGCGTCTCCTTAGAATTTTGAGTTGTCAACCAAAAAAATGGCCAAAGTTACACTCAGAACAGATCATTCGTGCTTCCTTTCGCACAATCGAGTTTGCAAAACCTCTCTTCGACGCAGCCAGTTGCACCGTTTGTCTTCACAGCACGGCCTAAAGTTCAGAATTTTGTCCAGCTCTCAACAAAATGTCGAAGAAAGTGATAGAATTGCCGCCAAGGTTCTCACTGGACTTCGGGTCGACGAAGTGGAGCAGAAAGCTTCTGTTTTGGATTCGGAGCGTCCTTCGGGAGCTCAAAATGTGTCTGCCGTGACTTCTGATGGCCATTGGCCACCTTGGAAGAATCTTCCCCAACGATATAAGCTCATCGGTACGACGTCCCTGGCATTCGTTATCTGCAACATGGATAAGGTTATCACTCTTTTGTAGTTCTGTTTTATAATTCCGCAAGTAAGTTTTATAGTTAATTAGCAGGCAACTAGAAGCTTTGCTTTGCTGGTTGCTATGACACTCGTTTACATCTATCTTTTCTTAAAAGCACAAGCTAAATTTTGTGAACTCCATTCTCATTGATCTTTCCCCATAGTTCCTTAGTTTAATTTGCTGGAAATGTGAGTTGCTGGCCTTCCCCTTTATTATGGGTTAACTGGAATTATCATATGTAGGTTACAGAAGAGTGCTCATTTGTCATTTGTTTATGGGGTCTGGCTTTTATTGATCAGTTACTTGATTGGGCAGGTGAACTTGAGTGTCGCTATAATCCCAATGTCTCATCAATTTGGGTGGAATTCATCAGTGGCCGGATTGGTTCAATCATCATTCTTCTGGGGTTATGCATTGAGTCAATTGCCTGGGGGTTGGTTAGCCAAAATATTTGGTGGGAGGTTAGTTTCCAGAAGCAAGAACAGCCTTTTCTTCTTTCCCTTTGGAGCTGGGTTGCAACTTGTTTGTATATACGGATAAATAAAAACTTGTGGGCCTAGGCCCAACTCATGATCCTACACGAGCATAGAGTTCGGTGTCTTATGTCAACGCACTGAACTAGCGTTGTGCTTCACCAGTCAGAATATTGAATACTTTTCAGATCCAAAATCCTCTGCTGTGTTGACAATGATAGGGCTTAATGAAATTGTAAAAATTAATTATAAACTCAAGAAATAGATGGTGCTCAATTGAGGGTTATACGTGGCTTACTTACACTACAATCAACTTAGGATGCACTATATGTGGAGCTTGTGAGACATAACATAATCTACATAAAAGTTGTAAATTATGGATTGGAATTTTCGATGTGCTATGATGATATATACGAATGAAAGAATATGTCTTGGACAGGGATAACATCTGATTCTATGAATTTGGATTCTGGACGCCAATGTCAGACATAATTCTGTCAGCCTTGTGTGTCAAACACTGAGAAGGTACCTATGTGAGAAATTGGGCTAGATGATAGAACATTAGTGAAAATGTGAGTATGTTTTTAGAATTAGGGTTTCATATAGTTAAAAAGAAGATTGAGCCTATAAAGTATAGCAGATGAAATTCAAGTTGATCTAATTCCAGAAATAGTTCGCAGAGAACAGAATCAAGATAAAGAGAACCATTAGAAGAAACTTGCTATTGATGTTCCAGAATGGAATCTTGAAATCTAATGTGGAAAATTTCATATAATTCTTCAAGAAAAATAAAGCACTTCCCCCCCTTTTATGGTTTTGAGACAAAATAAATGAGAATGATTTAATGACCATTTTATTCATTCTGAAAGCACAACAACAAGCTTTATCCCACTAAGAGGGATGGGTTACATGGATTGCACGATGCCATTGTACTCTATCATCAACTAAGCTTAGGAATATTGTAAACTAAAAGGTCGTATTCAATAACTTCTATAAGTGTTCTCTTTGGTCCTCATCTACGCCTCTTTACTAGGCTCAAGATTATCCTTTTTACTCTCCTTACTAGTGCCTCCTGCGACCTTCTTTGTACATATTCAAACTATCTTAAATAATTTTCTACTATTTTTCTCTCAATAGATGTCACACTCACTTTTTCTTGTATATACTTATTTTGGATTTTATCTCTTCTTGTATTCATCCACATTCATTTCAACATTTTCATCTCTACTACTCCAACTTTTTGCTCCTATTGTCCTTTTAAAGCGGAACATTCACTATCAAATAGCATAGTTGGTCTTATAGCAGTTTGATAAAACTTATTTGTAAGTTTATTAAGTACATTTTGATCACAAATAACTCCTTTAACGTTTCTCCAATTAAACCACCCATCTTGTATCTTATATACAACATCTTCATTAATTTCTATATCATGTTGAATAACAGCTCCCAAATATCTTAACTTTTTCACTTAAAGTATAATTTGATCTCTCAATCTCACTTTCAAGTTACTACTAACTGACTTCTTATTAAAATTACAATACAAATATTTTGTCTTACTCCTACTCAGACAAAAACCCTTTGACTCTAAGGTCCTCTTTCATAACTCCAATTTGCAGTTAATCTTTTCTTTTGTCTTCATAATAAAAACTATATCATCTACAAAAAACATGCATTTGGAGATTTTTTTTTCTTGAATATTTTTAGTCAAAACATCTAGAATCAGGTCAAACAAATAAGAGCTCAAAGATAATCTCTTATATAGTCCAATCCTTATACGAAAGTCCTTTGTTTCACCGTTAGACGTTTTGATACTAATTGTTGCCCCCCGTACTTATCTTGTATGGTTCTAATATAGGCAACCCAGACTCTTTTCTTTTCTCATTCTAAAAGCATGATTGTTGAAATAAGGAAACTGCTTAGTACTGTTTCTGCAAAGATCTACTTGGTAAACTGGATACTCAATAGATGACAATCTTACGTCAGTTGTTAGAAAATTCTATTCTTATTATCATGACAAAGTAAGCAAACTTTGAAAACTATCTAGGTAATTTGATATAAAATTTCTGCCCAGGAATTTAGATGAAGTTTCAAAACTTCAGTTGAGTCTCTAGGTTTATGATGTTATACTTCTACCTTCTTTTTGTTTCAGAAAAGTTCTCAAGCTTGGGGTATTAGCCTGGTCAATTGCTACGGCTCTTGTTCCTATTGTTGCTGGATATATGCCTGGATTAGTCCTTTCAAGAATTTTGGTTAGTAGGTTTAATTCTTTACCCTTTTTACCTGATATTCAAGTGTCAATATATGTTCATGGATCCTTGATTAATTTTGCAAAAGGTCTTGGCTTCATTAAATTTATTTTTCCATTTGGCTTTCTATTTACTACGGTTAGGGTCTGTTTATTGATTCTTTCTGGGGGTTAATTGTTGTTTAACATATTTCTTGCACATATTATTCTTTCTCAATTACTAATTGTTTTCATTTCATTTCATTTATAGGTTGGGATAGGAGAAGGCGTTTCGCCATCAGCAGCCACTGATCTAATTGCTAGGCATGTTTATATGTATTCATTCTTAAGCAATGTGCATTTTGGTTTATATTGATGATTTAGGTTGATTAGTGCTCCCTTTATTTGATTTATAATTTTTGGTCTGCTTCATTCTCTATTCTGCATTCCGTTATAACTTCCCTTGTACTGCAACTTTTGAAATATAATTATTTATTGGACTAGAGAAACCCTTGTGAAAAAGGAGAATTTTCCATTGGAGGTGTTAGTTGGAAGCAGAATATCAAGAAATATAGGACACTATGAAGAATTCTTTGAAGCTTGATGAGTAGTTTCAACCAGTTTACTCCCTTTTCCACCACAGCCCCTCCCCAAAGAAAAATCTACTTTAATATTTCCTGCTAAGCGAGCATTGATTTGGCACTATTAAGGGTATACTATACCAAATAGAAGCCCTTGTGCAAACTCTGATTCAAGATAATGAGAAAATTTGTGATTCTCATGATTTGGAAATATAAAACTTCTCTGTAAAATAGTAGGTTGCTGCATTTGCAAACTATTTTTTCAGTATATTTTCTTTTTTCCACCTCTTCACAATCTTGGCAATTGATCTTTTAAGTTTATAGAAATAGGGGTGGTTTTGACAGAAATTTGATTTTATTTTGCATTATTTAACATCTCCCCCATCTAATTTGTTTTATTCATTATGAGTTGCAGGACAATACCATTGGAGGAGCGCTCACGGGCTGTAGCATTTGTATTTGGTGGCTTGAGTGTAGGAAGTGTTATGGGGTTTGTATTTATAGCATGTAGTCTAATGTTGAAAAGTAAAAAACTTGTAATTCTCCTTTAACACATTATTAGCTATCAGGCTTCTTTTGGCTCCTCCCCTTATCCAACATTTTGGCTGGGAATCAGTATTCTACATATTTGGACTTTTAGGGATTTCTTGGTAAGTGGAAAAGATTAATTACTTAATTACTTGTATGGTTTTCATTGCATCAGTTGGTTTAACGTAGTAAAGTTCTTCTGTTAATGAAAAATTGATGTGTGTTATTGCCATAAATTTCAAAGGTTTTGGGGGTTTCAATTTCTTGAAGAAAGAGACACAGACTTAGTGGCTGAATCTAATTCATGTGAGCACTTAATCTGTTTACCTCTTTATCTGCTTTATCAATCTTCTGCCAAGTAGCGGCCTATGAATTAACTCATGATCCAACTACCTTTCTAATTGAAGAATCAAGTTCTTTAATGCTAAATGCCAAGGGATGCTGGAGTTAGATTTTGATTAAGCTAATGTCCTAATTATCATCCAATCTGTATTTTTATTTTTTGTTTTTAATCCATGGACTTGGAAATTTCTTTCAAACTCGTTCTTACTGACTTCCTACTGATGTGAATTTGTCTTAGTATATGCATCACTTTTGCTTTCTCCTCCAATACCGTTGCTTGTAACAACAGTTAATCTATCACCTGCGCAAACTTATCTACTGTTGCTGCTAATTTTGTCTCACAGTATGGCCTTCACTAGGACTTCAGTGTTCCCTATAGGCTGTAGAATTGGCTCATCTAAGTTTCATTTATAATTGTTCTGAATCATTCCATCCTACACTGTTCTACTGTACCATTGTCTCCATTAAATTGATCAGTATATAATTGGACTTATCATTCTATACTTTAGTAATCATATTCTTCATGGGCTATGTTTGAAGGGTAGCCTGTAGGCCACTTGTTCATTATTGTTTGTAGAAAAATTTCTTTTGCTTTAGTGTCCAATTCTTGCTTTCATCCTATGTTTACTTATGGTTTAACTGTTGGTTTTTCACTTCTTTTGTCTTTGATCATCTCAGTGGCCTGCAGTGTTACCCCACCACCTTCATGGAATGACTCTCTAGAAAAATTTAGTGACTCTTGGAAGGTATGGATCAATAATTTTTTGACATGCATATTTGGATTTAATTGTTGTGCCTTCTCAGAGAGGAAATGACATATTAATGCTGCTTATGGGCTTCGATTCTGACATGTTAGTGTTGTTCAATTATTTGATTGATAACAACTAGGGACCCTTTTACTTTGCCCTTTATTACTGAGTTAAAAAAAAAAAAATCTTAAACTGCAGAACAGCAGTTGTTTTTAATCCAGATATATTTTATTGGTTTTACTTTTTGCCTTTACAAAAAATTCTGTTCTGGTAAAGTCCTTCACTGCTTGAATGAGTATTACCATACTTACCGTGGAAGGCTTTTCTTCTGAAGTCAAGCTGATATGACAACATTATTCAATTATCTCATTGAAACTTGAGACAGTTTTACTTTTTACTTTAATTACTAATTACTGAGTGAGGGGGGAAAAATCTTTCTTAAACTGCAGAACAGCAGTTATTTTTTTGTGGTGTAATCCTTCCTTTCTTGAATGGGTACTTTTATCCAAATTAGACCTTTGCTTCATTTTTATGCTTTCTACTGTAGGATGTACCATGGAGCACTTTTTTTCGAAGTTCAGCTGTATGGGCTATGATATATGTTCACTTCTGTGGTAGCTGGGGTCACTACACTTGTCTATCATGGCTTCCCACATATTTTAGGTACCTTGTTGACATCTACTGCTTTAACTCTCTCTACCTGTTTCCTATGTCTCAGAATTACTGTCAATAGTTGTTAGAGAGATATTGGAGATTTTCCGCAATAAGTATTTGATTTATTTATATTCTTTTTTACTTTTTTTTTTCTTTTTATCTTAAAATTGATCATTGATATCTTTCATTTTCAGGAGCTTTGCTGAATATCTTTAATATAGTAATAATCAATATAAGAAGTTGGAATTGCATATTCTTTACCTAAGTTATGTAAATGAGTAAGCTACTTGATGGCATTTTGTATTTTACATCTTAAAACTTGCAGGGCTTTGCAATTGAGTCCTGTTGCTTTTAATAAGTGTTGGTTATTTAATCATTTTTTAATTTCCTTTTCATTTGTTTTAAATTTTGAATGGATAATAAGGTGACTTGGTGAATAATAAATGATGAAAAATGCTATGGAATCTACTTCTCTCAATTAGGAGTTCCTGTAGCTGTCCTCTGTATATTTTTAATGATAAAGTTTTTTTTTTTAATTTAATTTTTAGGTTCCTCCTTTTCTTAGACTGCACCGATTTCAGCTTAGTATTGATTTTTTGTTAAAACTCCGCCTATTTTTATAGCCGGTCCCAAGCCCGGGTAAAGGAGGAGGGTTGTGTTAGGCCATCAACAGCCAATGTAAAAATTTGTTGAATCTATCATGAACATGGATAATAGACGTTATAATGTTAATGCTAGGTCGTTGCCCGTAAGTAACGCGCTGCATGGCTCGAGTACATTGATAAGTGAGTTAGAGCCGCAGCATCGGCGCCCGGATGTAGTGTTAAATGAGCAAGGGCTACCGCGTCATTCTGGACGCACGCGGCTAAAGAAGTTAGTCCATAAGAGCAAAATTAGATTTGGTACTTGGAATGTTGGGACATTAAATTGTAAATCTGTAGAGGTTGTAGGGGTTATGATTCAAAGGAAAATCAATATCCTTTGCTTGCAAGAAACAAAATGGCGTGGAGAAGAAGCTAAGGATATTCAAGGTTTCAAACTTTGGTATACAGGAAAAGTAAGTGCACGCAATGGAGTAGGCATCATTATAGATAAGGAGTGGAAGAAGAACGTTGTAGAAGTTAGCAGAATTGGAGATAGAATTATTTCTTTAAAAATGATAATTGGACGTGAGACTGTTAATATTGTTAGCGCTTATGCGCCGCAAGTCGGGACAGAAGCCAGTCTTAAGGAATTATTTTGGGAGGATCTGGAGGGGTTGATTCGACACATACCACAGAGTGAAAAGATTTTTATTGGAGGAGACTTTAATGGGCATGTCGGGAGGGAAGCTGGTCAGTATGCGAGGGTGCATGGTGGTTTTGGTTTTGGAGAGCTAAACAATGAAGGACAAACTCTTCTTGATTTCTCATTGGCGTATGATTTTAAGATTGCCAACACTTGTTTCAAGAAGAGAGATGAGCATCTCATCACTTACAAAAGTGGAGCCTCAAGGTCGCAGATTGATTTTCTTTTGGTTAGGAACACAGATAGAAAACTTTGTAAAAATTGTAAGGTGATCCTCGGAGATGCTGTAACGACACAACATAGGGTCCTAGTCCTTGATGTGTGTATTATGAGTAAAATCCAAAAACGTCGACAAGTAGTAACACCAAGGATTAGGTGGTGGCAATTAAAAGGTGAGAAGCAAGATATTTTCAAGCGAAATCTTTTGGATAAAGGAATTTGGGATTCTCAAGGAAGTGCTAACATCATATGGGAGAATATGGCTAAAAAGATACGGGAGGTTGCAAAAGTAGTTTTGGGAGAATCGAAAGGTTCTGGTCCGAGAGATAAGGAGTCTTGGTGGTGGAATAATAGTGTACAGGACAAAATCAAGTATAAGAAGAACTGTTTTAAAGCCATACATTTGTGTAACAATGAGGAAAATTGGGAGAGGTACCGTATGGCTAAGAAGGAAACTAAGAGAGCTGTGGGTGAAGCTCGTTCTAAAGCTTTTGAAGAATTTTATAAGAACCTTAAGACGAAGGAAGGAGAGCAAAATATTTATAAGATTGCCAAGAGTAGGGAAAGAAAATCAAGAGATCTAGAACAGGTAAGGTGTATTAAGGATGAAGAGGGAAGAATTTTAGTTATAGATGATGAAATTAAAAATAGATGGGAGATTTATTTTTCTAAACTTTTCAATGATGGAGAGGATTCATCTAGTAACTTGGAGGATTTAGTAACTGGTGAAGGAGAACAAAATTTGTCATTCTATCGAAAAATACGTGATAAGGAGGTAAAGGAAGCTCTTAAGAAAATGACAAATGGTAGAGCCAACGGACCTGATTGTATATCTATCAAAGCATGGAAATGTTTAGGTGAAGAAGGGGTGAGATGGTTAACTAAGTTATTTAATATGATTTTACGGTCCAAGAAAATGCCTGATGAGTGGAGGAGAAGTACATTAATTCCTATTTATAAAAATAAAGGAGATATTCAGAATTGTACTAACTAAAGAGGGATTAAACTCATGAGCCACACAATGAAATTGTGGGAGAAAGTAATTGAGCACAGGTTGAGATTGGAGACAAGTATTTCTGAGAATCAATTTGGTTTTATGCCAGGTAGATCAACTACAGAGGCGATTTATCTACTAAGGGGATTAATGGAAAAGTATCGTTGTAAAGATAAAGATCTACACATGGTTTTTATTGATTTGGAAAAAGCTTATGACCGTATACCAAGAGAAGTGCTTTGGAAAGCGTTGGAAAAAAAGGGAGTACGGATTGCTTATATTAAAGCCATACAAGATATGTATGAGGGGGTAAAAACTAGTATAAGAACACCTAGTGGTCAAACAAAAAATTTTCCTATAAAGATTGGACTACATCAGGGATCATCTCTGAGTCCTTATTTGTTCAACTTGATTTTAAATGTTTTGACGGAACATATTCAAGAGGAAATCCCGAAATGTATGTTCTTCGCGGATGATATAGTTCTTATAGCAGAGACAAGAGAAGAGGTTAATTGCAAACTTGAGTTATGGAGGAGGACATTGGAGTCGAAAGGTTTTCGTCTGAGTAGAAGTAAGACGGAATATTTATATTGTAAATTTGGTAAAGGACTATTCGAAAATAATTTGGAAATGAAATTGGGAGATCAAATTATACCTCAAGTGGAAAAGTTTAGATATTTGGGGGCCATTATTCAAAATGATGGCGAAATCAGTGGAGATATTTCACATAGAATTCAAGCTGGGTGGTTTAATTGGAGAAAAGCTAAAGGAGTTATTTGTGACCGTAAGGTGCCTAATAAACTTAAAGGAAAGTTTTATCGTACTGCTATCAGACCGGCAATGTTATATAGTAGTGAATGCTGGGCTCTAACGGGACAGCAAGAGCATAAAGTTGGAGTAGCAGAGATGAGAATGTTACGATGGATGTGCGGACATACACGTAAAGATAAAATTCGAAATGAGCACATACGTGAAAAAGTGAGGGTGGCACCTATTGAGGAAAAAATGGTAGAAAATCGATTGAGATGGTTTGGGCATGTACAAAGAAGACCAAGGGAGGCACCAGTGAGAAGAGTGGAACATATAACTTTGAGTCCGATTAAGAGAGGTAGAGGAAGGCCTAAGAGAACACTCTTGGAAGTTGTTGAACGTGATCTCTTAATTAATAATATTTCTAAAAGCTTGATAAATGATAGAGCACAATGGCGTCTTGCAATCCATGTAGCCGACCCCACCTAGTGGGATAAAGGCTTGTTGTTGTTGTTGTTATTGATTTTTTGTTAAAAACTCCATGTGAAAGAAGTGTTAAGTTGACAATCACTGTGGTGCTTTGATGGGGCTGTGATATAAAATGCGTCAGTTCCAAACTGCTTTCTAGTTGCACTGCTAATCGTTGTTGCCTTGGCAAGAGCTGGAACTACCTGTTTGTGCCTACTTGGCTCCCCCCACCCAAGGGCCTTGGGAAAGGTCTAATGTATGCTTGAAGATATGGCACTGATCCAAATAACTGACAAACACTTTTAAGCTTAATTTTGTTTTTATTTGTTTGCCATTTCTTTTGCTTAGTAATTAATGAAGAAAGAATCCTTCTAGAGATTTTACATTTTATGGTTTAAAACATGATCATCGTTTTCACACATAAATTTTATAATTTTAAACTGGTGCAGAGCGTTTTAGTTCTATTTTTTTCGACTTTTCCTCCATGGAAGTTTTAATTCTACTATCTATATGTGATGCAGTGAGGAGCTGAATCTAAACCTTACCGAAGCTGCATGGGTAAGACTGATTGGAATTTTTATTTTTCTCTCTGCCAACACAATCACCTCAAGCATTCACGAAGAAAAAAATTCAGTTTTTATTCTTGGGATTTGATTCTGTTGGTATACAGTTTGAAATAGGTAAATCAAATTTGAAATAGAGATCAAAGAAGATCATGATTCTGTTGGTATACAGTTTGAAATGTGAAAAGTTCAATTGAAACTATGTTTATTTGTACTGCTTAGATGGCTGCCGTTTAATAATGCCCTTGGCAGAAAACTGCCAGTTTGATGACGAAGTGGTGAGGAGAGAGAGGGGGGGAGGAAGGGAGAGAGCACAAGAGGCACTTCCTGAGCTATATCTAGCCATCAGAGATATAATTAGCGTTTTAGAGGTTAATGATCTACCTGTAAAAGACAATTTAGGGAGCTAAAGATTATAGAATTACGAAACATATCAGAAGGCAGGCTAGTTTATGTTAAACAAATGCCGTAATGAGAATTCAATCTTAATAGTGTTGCAGTTGTAACATAGTTATTTCCCATCATTAGGGACATAATTTTCCATTTGGTACCATTGTTTATCACTTGGTTTCCAACAATTTTGAGTTCTTGATCATTTCAGGTGTCTATTCTTCCACCATTAGCTTCAATATTTGTGACTAATGCTGCAGCTCAGTTAGCTGACAATTTGATTTCTAGAGGAGTTGAAACTACAACGGTATGAGAGGGATTACAAGATTATTAGTTTACTTCTTGTTTATCTTCTAAAACTTCGATAGTTGATTGGTATAGAACTAGAAATCACATTTCTCATATCAATATATTTCCTCAATATATGCTTGACAGCATAAATTTAACAGAAGTGCAATTTCATTTATTGTGGAGAAATTACTTAGCTTTGGCCATACTGACCAAGCACTTCTCAATAGCATTTGTTGTGACTTATTACTTGATTTGCAGACATGTCAGCGACAACTTAGTAGTATTTAGATTTTGACTTCAATAATAATTTCCTGGCTGTCTGAATTTCTAAATAAAAGGTTCGAAAGATCTGCCAATCAATTGCATTTTTGTCTCCTGCAATCTGCATGACTCTGTCCTCACTGGATCTAGGGTTACCACCTTGGGAGATTGTGGGCATTCTAACGGTTGGCCTAGCCCTCTCAAGCTTTGCCTTGTCAGGTACCCAAGAATCCTGCAAATTTATTTCATATAACTAGTCTGATCGTCTCTCTCCGTTTAGTTTTGGACTGTTTAAATATGTGCGCTTATGCAGGACTTTATTGTACCCATCAAGACATGTCACCTGAATATGCGAGTATTCTTCTGGTATGTCCGTACACTTCTTCATCTCTTGTACCAAAAAATTAATGGATATGAGATGGTGCTTTCAGTGAATGATCCCTATTCCTAAAAATAAATATCTTTTCTGGCAATGCTATCTCAAGTTCTTATACTCATTAGTCTACGCGCATCCATCCTTATTCTTGAATTGTTAGCAAGATGCTGCCCTGTAAATTTTTTTTTTTTTTAACTAGAGACCATATGCTGTCAAGAGACGCGATATGATTCTCTTCCTTTTTAAAATTGCCTTCTCTAGGTTCTCATATTACTTGAGGGTACTTTCGTTTGACAATGGAAAAGAAGATGGGGAAGGAAAAGTTTTTTTAATTATTATGTACTTGATATTATTACTGAACTGTTATATCTTTTTTAATGCTTTTAAAAGTAGGGACACAAACGTAACTTTTCATCAAATTACTTTTAGTCAGTTCATTCTCCTTTTCATTTCATGTATCAAACATCTCCTAACATCCTTCATATGGTGGAAAGGAATGTTTTGGGGGGGGTGGCATCGTAGGTTGGTGGGGTGTGGAATGACACTTTGTCCCTACTTTAAGAAGTAATGAAAACGTATCACGTAATCATGAAAACACAACAAATTTCCCTCCTTTGTGAAGCATATCAAACGATTTAGCTACGAATTGATTGTCTGTAGCAGCTGCACGGTGCAATGGTGAGAGAAAGATGGGCTGTGGAGCCCACCCATGCCCATCAAAATTTTCCCCCCACATTGCAACACCGTGCAGCTCCTGCAGGGAAGCAACATCTGTTTTAGCTAACTACATGAAGGCCTTGGTAGTGATGGTTTGTAACTACCTGTTAGATGAAGTTTTGCTCCAATTGCAAGATTGAGGGGTTTATATATATGTATATGTATTTTGAATATAGCCATTTGACTGGGTCAAATGTGAGCATCGTTGGGCCCAATTAGAGATAGCTCTCCAAGGGCGTTTTATGCATTCACACAAACTCGTATTTAAGCAACTATAACCTCTTCCACTAGGACCAACACCTATTGGTGGTGTCTACTTTTTCCAGCTGACAACGTTCCACTTCAACTCTTCTACTTTCAGTTATAGGCCAACCATAACATAATTAGTTTCAAACCTGGGATCAATTAACAGCAACCCCTTGAAAGGTTTTGGCATATGCATGTTGCTACATCTAAACTACTGCGTACTACTAAAGATTAATTCATTCTTTTCATTAGTAAAATAACTGAACATTTGGTTTGAGATTAATATCTGATTTCCTTAATCATTCCTTTTGTCTGTTCCTCAGGGTATCACTAACACTGTTGGGGCAATACCTGGAATTGTGGGTGTGGCCCTCACTGGTTATCTTTTAGATTCAACTCATTCATGGAGTGTGAGTCTCCCCTCACTAGATTTTTTTTCCCCTTACTGTGTTGTGTTAATATATTCTGTGTTTGATCTAAAGTTCATCTTGTAGATATCACTATTTGCGCCATCAATCTTCTTCTACTTGACTGGCACGTTAATATGGTTGGTGTTTGCCAGCAGTAAGCCTCAGAATTTTTCAGAGCAAGAATGATACTTCTTTCATTCTTTCATAGTTCTGAATACAGCTTCAGAAATAGAGCAAATCTCAATCTTCCCTGAGCTTTTGGCAATGGAGAAGGCGTATATTGCTTTTTGTACAAATGGGTCATCTGATTTTCGTCCAGTAGAAATGGCGGAAAAGGGAAATGGCATTAATATATATATATAGGTGTATTTTTTTTTCCCTTGGTGAATGATTTTTTTTTCCCCGGCTTTAAGCTTGTAGCAGCATTTGAATAGATGAATGATGACGATGATTTGGCCACCAAATCTTGTGTTAGGTGTTGCAAATCTCTGGAAAGTCAAAGATATATTGTGATTTTCTTATCAATGTTAGGTGTTATTCTTCATCAACCGGGCTTTCCATTTGGTGTGTTTTAGGTTTCAAGGTTGATGAAATAAATAAATATTTATTTATATATTAATAGGAAATTACGAGTGGAACGCCGTAGCTTAGGGTAGACGTTAGATTCTGTGTACGTACGTTAAGCCAGTGACAAACTGGCAATAACAGAGGGACATGTGAAAAGGTTTCGCTAAACGGCCCTTCTTTTCTTTTTCTTCTTCTTCTTCTTTTTGAAGGGTGGGAATCTGATGCGGCCAAATTGAATTTATTTATGTTTCTCTTTTTAATGAATTTGATTAATTAAACACAAGTTGCTTTTGCGTTTTGATGCAAGAGCAATGTCGTTTGGTTCATAGTCCAAAACATGCTCTTACTTGAGTGGTTTTGAGGGAGTGTATTAAAACGATTATATGAAATATAATTTCAATCAACACTAAGAAATTGAAAGTAAAACTTCCTATTACATAATTATCATATAATTAGACAGGTTTACAAATCAAAGAGACTTAATTAAACACAAGTTGCTTTTGCGTTTTGATGCAAGAGAAATGTGGTTTGGTTCAAAGTCCAAACACCCTCTTACTTGAGTTGTTTTATGGAAGTGTATTAAAAAGATCGTGAACAATTTAAAGTAAAACTTCCTATTACATAATTATCATATAATTGAGACGGTTTTTTTTTTTTAATGTTTCTTTCAGTGTTTGAAAAGTGGTTATAAATTATAATAGCATAAATGATGTGGTTTGATATAAATTTTGCATGATATATTGATATATTGATGCTATATGTGTTTTGATGAAGTACTTTATTTTTGGATATAGAAGTAAGTACTGTTTCTAAATCAAAGGGTTTTTTTTTTTAAATTTAATATTGCAGATTATTTCAAAAATAAATGCGCTTCATACATATTGATTTAATGATATTTTCTTTTCTTTTTAAAAGAATTTCACCACAACTTTTCTATCATATACTTGAAAAACTTTGTATAAATCTGGAACCTTTAGGAATTTCCTAAAATACTTAAATAAACATTATAGTAAATATTATCTCAAATAAAAGTAGCCTATGATAATTTATAAAACAAAATATACATATACTAGTTACTTGATTATATTTAAAAACTACTTATATATGAATTTTATGAAAAATTTTATCTTGAATGTCATGAATTATAAAATGAGACAAGTAATTTTTTCAATTATTATAATCAAAATCATGTTAATTATATTCTTACCTTGAATTATATGAATGGCATGATTATATTTGGAAAGACTTTTATAATTTTATCTAATCAAATCAAAATAAGTAAATTTTAATATATTAATAATATTTTTTTTTAATTAGAGAAGCAGGCACTAACAACTTGAGATTATAAACAGTATTGAACTACGATCCTCCACTTATGGAAGAGCTTACATGCCACTAGATTTCAAGGTCATTGACTATTAATATTATATAATATATAAAAATCTGCATATCTTGAAGGAAACAAGCACTTTTAAGTATAAAAATTAAATATATAATCACTTTGGACAATAATATATGTCGTTTTCTAGAAGCTTTGTTCTATCCACAATATGGGGTATTAAGTAGGTGTTTTATATATATATATATATTAATTATATCCTTATTTTATTGAGTAATTAATGAGGATGTTTTACATAAATCAAATGTGTTATATCTATTATATTCAGGCACGATTGGAAAAATGTAGAAACTTTTATAAAATCAAGATTTTAATCAATATTTGTTGAGAAACATAAATTAATTAATAATGATTTATATTGTGATTAAGAGAAAGTAAGAATTTTATATATGACGTTGTTTCGTGCTTATGAATTCACTCAAGTTCTAGAATTTCACAACTTTAACCGCAGAAAAGATAACTGTTAGAAGCAAAGAAGCATGAAGTTAAATATAGAAACTGAATGAACTGAAATCATACAATGGGAGGCATTAAAAAAAAAAAAAAATCCATAGGGTAGTCCCTACAGTTCACTCAAAAGTAGAATATTTTTTAAAAATTAAAAAAAAAAACTAAACCCTCTACTCTTCTCCAAGAAAAATGAAAAACAAGTTATTTTCCATTCGTTTCTATCTCGAAATTTGAATCAATGGGCAATGCAAGAGGAACCAAATTCTTGGTTTCCCTACAGAAAGCAAGTTAGTTGCAAGCAGGAAGAATAAGATATGGTAAATGGGCAAATACAATGGAGAAAGGAGCAACCCTTATTGGTGTTGAAGTGTTTACATAAAGAGGGTTCAAACCAGGAATGGCCCCATCTTCATTTATACTTAGAATGTTGCCATTTAGCACCAAGCTTTGGCTCTGTATATTCCCATCTTGTGCTGTCAGATGGTACTCTTCTCTTGCTGCTCCATTTTGTTTATTGTGATGCACCTTAATGAATCTTGATCTTTCAACTTGAACTTGACTACTCTTTCTGTGCCATAAACTCACTGTCTTGTTCAAGCCCACTTCAGCTTCAACTGCAGTGCTGTTCAGGTTCATTAGCAGTATTGTGATCCCTTTCTGCAGCACAATGTAGTTTCAAGTAAGTTCTGCAAGTCATCTACATATCTAACCTGAAGATTCAGTTTTCTTGATAAATTTAAAATTTAAATAAAATTTTCTCTCTCCCCATATAGAGAGAGAAAGACAAACTTCCTGATTTGTAGATGATTCGTTCTATAACGAAGCCAATCACTAATATGATTGGTGTTTTGTAAAAGTTAAAAAATTATTCAGATATAATATATGTTGAGCTTTCCCAAAAGCTGGCTGTTGAGGTAGGAAAACCAACCTAGTTAAATATCCCATTAGATATCCCATACTGTACTACTTAGTGTGAGACTTGGTATCTTCCATACTATCACCAAGTCACCATCAGGTGTAAATATATGTCGGGTCTTCTACATTCATTCAATTATGCATTTAGAGAGAAAATGATATAATAGAATGTGACTTGGCGTTAAGCCCACACCTCATCTCTACATCCATTGTCTCTTTCAATTCTATGTCTCTCAGAATTGATGACAATCGAGCTAATCATGATTTGAAACCTAAGAATAACCACAAGTGAGTTCCAACAAAGCCATGTACACTTAGTGAGTATACTGAATTATTTCATTACAGTTAGGTGGTATTTAATTATTGTAAATAGGGATTATGAAATTTTCTTTCAGTAAGGAGAAAATCAACTTCATAATCATACTGATGAAGAAATTTCACTCACAGATTGCTTTGCACAGTGGGCATAAGCTCTTACAAACTTAGTCCCCAAGAAGCTAGTTGACAGTACTCGTCTTCCCATGAGTCGGTGCCATAGCAGAGCACTGTAAGTAAGAAAAACACATAGCCACTGAAAAACATTCTAAATTTGAAACTGACATTTTTTTTTTTAATATTAGATGCATCTTAACATTTTAAGATTCATGATAATTTATTCTCTGAATAATAAATAAGAAACCAGGAGAAATACATGTAAAAATAGAAAGGAAAAAGGTATGATCTGCAAAATTTAATACCTATAGTAATCTGGATTGGGAATGAAGTTAGAAGTATTGAGTAAACCATAATTCCCTCCAATCAAACTCTGTCTGCAGTATGTTTTAGTGTTGTAAGAAGCTGACATGCCCATCTGATCCAAATACCTGCAAGTAAGATGTTGTAACATTAACAAGAAATTCATAACTAACCCCAGGTAGTATAAAAAGTGTATGCACGCACAAGCACGTGTGTGATGAGGAATTAATTACCAGAAACTGTACACAAATGAATCAGACACAAGATGATGGCCACTATTGTAAGCTCCTCCTGCTTCCCCAACCCATGCAGTAGCAGAGGTTTCAGAGCTACTCAGTACATCTTTGAGGCCGCTGAAGGTCTTAGCCTCTCCATCAAGATATGAAGGATTCAGAATCTTCTCTATAAGGTGATCATCAACACCTGTATGATCAATGGAGAGCCATAAATAGTTTAGTATAATCTCTAGCACATCCCTTCACATAAAAATTCGATGGACTTGAAAGCAGTCAACAAATCACTGGCCAATGATGCATTAAGATAAAACTTATGAACAAACAATTTCTAAATGTTTGATAATGATTGATGAGGTGAGAAGTACCTGGACCAAGGTTATAAATGTGGTGGGTGACAACATCCAGAGATTTGCCTGATTTGGAAATAAATTCTTTGAACCAATGTGCATCAAAGAAACCTCCAGGTGCAATGACCAGTGGCTTAGGCTCAATATCTTTGTAAGCCCTTTGAACTATGTCTCTTAAAGAGGCTGTGTCAGATGCATATTGATCTGCATCAATGCCTATCCCTACTCCATTCCCACTCAGTTCATTGCCTGGCAAAAGAAAAAGAAAATGTGTTCCTTCTTTTAAATTATCCCTTCGACCAGAAGAAGCCATCGTGTCAATATCAAACACGTGTTGGATACATGAACACTTGAGATTATGTTATGTCATGGTATCTGAATCGGTGTTTCCTAGCATGTAAAAGAACAATTCCATATGCCTTGTTGGTTCAAGACTTCAAGTCTTACTGTTTATAAAAAGACCTTGTTGGTTAGTAATCTGTAAGTATTGAGGCCTGCTTTAGCCCTTGTGAGCAGCTATGATCCAACTCACCAACACTTGATTTATTAAACAAAAAAGAAAGAAAGAAATTCTTCTATAACACAAGCATTACAGAAAACTGTGAATACTTACCAAGCTCCCAGCCATGAATGGTGTAGTTCTTGCTGACAGTGTAACGGATAAAGGATTCAGCATTTGTGTAATTCCAAGGTCCTTTGGCAGGATTAGATTTTAATGACTTTCCTTGTAGAGCATTCAATCCAAATATAATCTTAGCCCTGAAATAAGCCTACTATTATTAATAAAGTTAAATTGTTAAAAAAAAGGTTCCCTAGTAAACAAAATCATTTTCTATTTAGCCCCAAGAAAATGAGCAAGAAAAAGAAGGGGAAAAAAAAACAGAGGAAACAATTTTATAGGAATAAGAAGTGATTGTTACCCAGATTTCTTGAAGAAGCTGTTCAACTCATCCCATCTGGGCATTGGAAGGCACCCTTGAGTGAAACCAAACATCTCAGAAGTGTTTCTAACAAAATGAGTACAAGGTCGTCGATTATCTGGAGTATCATATATGACCTTGTCTTGCAAAGTGCCTCCTAATCTTATTTTCAACGGCGAAAATGCTGTTGAACAATCATAAACAATGGTTCAAACAAGAGTACAATGTCTTCAGTACAGAATTTAAGAGAAGATGTTGCAATTTATGAGAATGATGAGATGAAAAATTCATCCGTACCTCTTACGGCATTTAAGAAAATGCTGTTATTAAGGTCCTGCACAAGAAAATGAAGGAGATGAGAATTTAGAATCCGAAGCAATTTACAGAGAAAGTTTAGATCATGTACTGATATATTGATTTCATTAAATCCTACTGAAACAGAATCTAGGGATGATGGTGGGTCTTAGATTATTGCAATGAGAAAGACAGAAAAAAAACTGAAAAGAAAGTAATCGATACAATGTTTCAACATTACGAGGTCAGAAAGTTATTAATACGTTACTTAGCAATGAGAAGAAAATGACATTGTTACTTTTAAAAGCAAAACTGAAACAAGAAACAGAAAAAAAGTTGACTGGAATCGTTTTGGAGCTGAGCTACGAGATCCTAGATAGACACAAAGTCCGACGACATCGAGAAATGGAAAAACGGCACTGCAAAATGCAGCATGAACCAGACAAGTTCTGATACAGAGATTCATTCAAAAACCATTTGAAATCTTGAAGAGGAAGAAGAATGAATACCAGATTAAGCAGAGAAGCATGATCCCAACTACATCTTCCATAATCACATTTCTCAGGAGGCCACCAATCCAGAGTGGCACAGACAAAATCCTCATCGATATTACCGATTGAAGATTTCCCATTGATAAAAACCATGCCTTGTGAAGCTTCATGTCCTCTTTCTTCGTTCAGTGTATTGACAGTGTTGATTCTGAAGGTCACGAAGAACACCCATATGCAGAAACCCAAAAGCTTAATCAGCCAACCCATTCTCAGAACCTGCAAAAGCTAATAATATCTTTAAAGGCTTTTGCTTTATTGAACGGCCAAGGAAGCCATGGAAGGAAATGCAGAGAGGTAAGGTTTCACGAGAGAGAGAGAGAGAGGGAGGAGATATAATTATATATAAAGTGAGTAAGTTGGTAATTAATTAACGAGAGAAAATTTTCTTTACAGTAAAGGTACGTCTGTGACTGTACAATTGCTTACTGGGAAGGCACTTCATGGGACTTCCTTATATAAGCTCGAAATCGCTTCATAGTTTCGGTATCAATTTTAATGTAACTATTATGATGCTTCATTCCACCGAACAACAATGACAATATTTAAATTTAAATTAGTATATTTAATGAACTGAATGAGTGATTCCCCCATTAAAGCTTTTTAATGTTTGGCATTAATCATTTGACTAGGATGGGTCCCAGTATTCATGGGTGTGGGATAATAATTTATGATGATATAGTACTCCATTTTTTTAAAAAAATTATAAAATATTTTTGAATAAAATTTCATGTACTAATAAATCTTATTAAATATACTTAACAATTTTATTTATTTAAAATAAAAATATAAATTTTTAAAAATATTATTAATTTAATATATTGAAAAGAAGGGATAAAAATTAAATAGAAAGAGAGAAAGATAATATTAGAATAAATTTATTTAATTAAACATTAATCTTTCTTAAAATATTTTATATTTAGATGTGAAATTTCCTTCAAAATTGTCTCACAAATTTGGGCGAGAAGAAATAATTTATATTTTAAAATTATATTGATATTGATGATAGTAATATTAATTTGATGAGTTACATTTCATATATTATATAAAATTAAAAAATTATTATTCCATTTAATCCTATTTAAAAATCAATCCTAATATATTTTATAAGAACAAAGAAAAGGGGAGAGAATTCTCTCTTCTTTCCTTCACATCATCTTTCCCCATCTTCCTTTAATAACATTTAATATTAATATTTGAATTTCTTTGATAAAATATATCATTTTATTTGGTTTTTATTATAGTTTTCAACTATTCAAATTAAATTTTAGCATTTTGAATTTGATTATTTATCTTTTCTTATCATTTAATATTTTAATAATAGTTTTATAGAAAATTAAATTTGAATCATCCAAATCTTGATCTAATAATAAAAAAATGACAAAAGATAGAAAAGGACGAAAAGGAAATTTGAGAGAATCCACTCAAAAAAAAAACTTAAAACTTATTATTTTTAATAACAAAATGAGACCACTACTAGCAAGCACTACCATTAGCATCCATACATGACAATGCTTACATGACAATGTCAGCCGCCCAATTCACCTCTGGTAGTTTTCTGATTAATTTTGTCTAAACTTTTAATAATTTTTTAATTTTATTTCCATTAAAATTTATAAAAATTATTTTAATAATATATTTTTTTCACTAACATTTTATAAGAAATAAAAAATTGTAATAAAAATTTAATAACATCACTTATAAATAGAAATAAAAAATTCCTTTTCTTTGCTTTATAAATAAAAAACGGAGGAATTTTTAATAGTATGATTTGTTATAAATTTTATTTTATTAATTAATTATTTGTACCAATGATTTTAACTAAGACATTGATGCATAGTATTAAATAGTGCCTTAACTGGTTGTTCAATTTTCAGTACATTGATGAGAATAATATAAAATTAAAGGATTTTAAGTACTATCTACTCGGCTTAATTTTTAAATATCACTTTTAAGAGGAATTTTTTTCGGGTAACATTTTAAGGGAAAAAATTTAGTTGCATTGTTAGCTATCAGCAAGTAGGGGGGGTGTGTGTAAATTAACTATTTAATATTGATATTTTATTAAATGATCATTTCAATATTATAGTCTAAACCAATAAAACTCTAGCTTTTTGTGTAAATAATATGTTATAATAATATTAAAACTAAAAAATAATCTTACATTTATTAATAATCTCATAATATTTTTGTCATAATTACAGAACATAATGTTCCTATCCTAAGTTTATAGCATCACCCCACATTCATAAAAAGTCTAATCTTTTTATGCTACGTGTATGATAGGAACAGGTTAATTTTGATATTTGGTATCATAAAAATTGTATAGCATTTTTAAAATGATACGTTTATGCAACAAAATTTGAATAATATTTCTCAAAACAAAAGTTTATACATTTCGATATGAGGAAAATTTTAAATAATATAAAAAATGATTACTGAAATTTTGTTTATCTAGCTCAAAATTCTTTAAAGAGTTAATGAACATCATCTTTAAACTATTATACGAATAGCATCTTTTACTACAAATTTTAAAATATGAAAAAGCAATCTTCAATTTTTAAATTTTAAGTGCGTGAAATCCCACAATCAAGATGGAGAAAACAATCATTATTTTTAAGAGTTAAGATAGATAATACATCACATGTGATTAGGCTCCACAATTATAAAAGCAACAACAATTTTTTCAACTTATCAACAAGGTTTGAAATGCTCAAAATTTAAAATTAATGAAAGTTTTTATACATTTCAAAAGTTTGGTATCCAAAATACTATTTGCGTAATAATTTAGAGTATATGAAGCTCACTAACCCTTCTTTAATATAAGAACCTGATTTTAAACGAGCAGTGAAAATCTCATACAGTAAAATTATCATAGACAAATCAGAGTATATTAATGCATCCAATTCAATCAAGTTTATGGTCAATAAAAAACAAAACTAAGTTCTCAAAGTGATTTTCCAAATTGAGGAGTAATGGAAGGGAGGTCAGTGGTTGTCGGGTTACAACTTAATGAGAAAATTTTCTTTGCAGTAAAGGTATGTCTGTGACTGTACAGTTGCTTACTGGGAAGGCACTACAGGAGACTGACTTATATAAACTCAAAATCGCTTCATCATTTCAGTATAAATTTTAATGTAACTATTATGTTGCTTCATCCACCGAACAACAATGACATTATTTAAATTTAAATTATTATACACTTTCTGTCGAAATATTTTTGAACAAAATTTTACATATACCCATTTACTTAATAATTTTATTTATTTTAAATAAAAATATAAATTTTGAAAAAGATATTTCATTTAATATATTAAAAATAAATAGGAATGAAAATTAAATAGAAAGATAGAATATTGAAATAATTTTATTTAATGAAATATTAATTTTCCCAAAGTATTTTATATTTTGAGATATTAAATCTCTCTCAAAAGTGTTTTATAACTTATAATAGATAGAATAATTTATATTTTAAAATTATATTGATATTGATGATAGCAATATTAATTTGATGAGTTACATTGCATATATTATATAAAAATAAAAAAATATTATTCTATTCAATCCTATTTAAAAATCACTTCTAATATATTTTACAAAAATAAAAGAAAAGGGGAGAGAATTTTGTCTTCTTTTCTTCACATCACCTTGGCCTCATCTTTCTTTAATAACCTTGAAAATTAATATTTTAAACGGTTTGGATTTAATTTTTTATAAAATATATCATTTTATTTGATTTTTTATTATAATTTTGAACTATTCAAATTAAATTTTGGCATTTTGAATTTAATTATTTATCTTTTCTTGTCATTTAACAATTTAATAAGAGTTTTGTAGGAAATTAATTTTGAGTCATCTAAATTTTAATCTAATAATTAAAAAAGAGGAAAAAAATAGAAAAAGATGAAAAGGAAATATGAGAGAATCCTCCTCAGAAGAAAAAAAAAAACTTCAAAACTTTTTTTTTTAATAACAAAATGAGACCACTACCAGCAAGCGCTACTATTAGCATCTATACACGACAATGCTCACATGACAATGTCGGCCCCCAAATTCGCCTGTCGAGTTGTTTTCTGATTACATTTGTCCAAAATTTTAATAAATTTTTTATTTTATTTTTATTAAAATTTATTAAACTTATTTTAATAAATTATTTTTTTTCACCAACACTTTATAAGAAATTAGAAAAATTTTGTAATAAAAATTTAATAACATGCCTTGTAAATAGAAATAAAAAATTTCCTTTTCTTTGCTTTATAAATAAGAAATGGAGGAATTTTTAATAATATGATTTGTTATAAATTTTATTTTATCAATTAATTATTTGTACCAATGATTTTAACTAAGACGTTGATACTTAGAATTAAACTGGTGCCCTAATTGGTTTGTCCAATTTTCAGTACATTGACAAGAATAATATCAAATTAAAGGATTTTAAGTACTATTTACTCGGCTTATTTTAAAATATCCCTTTTTAGGGGATTTTTTTTATTGGTAGCATTTTAAGGGGAAAAATTTGGTTCCCTTGTCGACCATAGGTAGGTAGTGGGGTGTATAAATTGTCTATTCAAGATTGATATTTTGTTAAATGATCATTTCAATATTACAGTCTAAACCAATTTAAACTCTAGCTTTTTGTGTAAATAACATGTTATAATAATATTAAAACTAAAAATAATAATTTTACTTTTAAAACTAAAAAATAATTTTACATTTACGAATAATCTCATAGTAATTTTGTCGTAATTAAAGAACATAATGGTCCTATCCTAAATTTATAGCATCACCCCTCATTCATAAAAAGCCTTATCTTTTTATGCTACTTGCATGATAGGAACAGGTTAATTATGATATTTGATACCATAAAAATTGTATAATATTTTTAAATGATACCTTTATATATAATAATTCGAATAATATTTTCTCAAAACAAAAGACTATACATTTCAATGCATACAATATATAAGGAAAAATTTAAATTTATTAAAACATTAAACAATATAAAAAATGATTACTGAAATTTTGTTTATCCAGCTCAAAATTCTTTAAAGATTCAATGAATATCCATTCTAAACTATTACACGAATATCATCTTTAACCCTAAACTTTTAAAATGTATATAAATTTTTTTCAACTTTTACATTTCAAGTGTATAAAACCTTATCATTAAGCTGAAGAAAATAGCCATTATTTTTAAGGGTCAAGATAAGTAATATATCAATGTACAACTAGGCTTCACACAATTACAAAAGTAACAATCATTTTCTCTAAGTTAACGTCGATGTTTCAGGTGCTTAGAATTTAGAAGTTGATAATATTTTTTGCACATTTCAATGTTTAAAATCTAATATGTTATTTGCATAATAGTTTAGGGTATAAAAAGCTCACCAACTCTTCTTTAAAATAAGAACT